CCTGTCCCTCAGCTGGTGAACTGAAGTGCCCTCTTCTCTCTATGTTCTTAACAGAAAAGAGGACTCCTTTCTCTTGACTCTGTTCTGCCCCTCAAGCTGGCGTGTCACTGCCTCTTCCTCTCCATCGCAGGCGTGGCCCACACTACCGCCTTCCCCACATTTCCTGTTCACCATTTGACCTCCTGCAGCCAGCCTCTGACCCAGTCCCTCCACGAAGCCTCTGCCCGTGCAGCCACAGTGACATCTGGCTGCCAAACCCAGCAGCTGCCTCTCCAATCTTAGTCTTGCTTGCCCCTCTGGAACGTCTGAAGGTGCTGACCCCCAGCTGCTGATCTCTGTGGGCCCTTGGGAGCCTCCTTCCCACGGCTGCTGCTCACGTTTCTCCCCTGCTTCTCACTCACTTCTAGCGAGGACCCGTCTTCTGACCTCGGTTCTTCCTTCCCAGTATTTTCTCCATCATTGCCTCTTTCTGAAAAATGCTGAATTGCTTTTTGTTGAGTACATATTTATTATAGATTATTTATAACTTCATTATAGATTATTCCAGATACCTAAAATTCAACAACTCTGGAAATAATCCTCCTTTTCCTCCAACATTCTGTGTTCGCAGGTCTCCTCCTGGGCACGCAGGACTGAGCCTCGGGGTCGTCTTTGCTTTCTCTCTACCAGCCCACCCCTATTGGCAATTGCTGGCCATAGCCTGTCGATTCTGTTTCTGCATTTTCCCTCAACTTCCTTCTCAACTTTCTTTTCTCAAATTGTAAATTGATGATTTATAATTGTATGAATTTGCAGGTACAAAGTGATGAATATAATTTCTGAATACAATGTGGAATAATTAAATCAAGCTAGTTAACATATCCACGAGCTCAAATACTTAATATTTTTGTGGAGAGAACGTTTGAAATTTACTCTCTTAGCAATTTGGAATGTACAATACTTTATTAACTATACTCACCATGCTGTGCAATAAAACTCATAAAAAATAAAAAAAACATACTTCTCCTGTCTAATTCAGAGCTTGTGCTCTTTGACCATCCTCTCCTCATTCCCCCCTGAGCCCCCAGCTTCTGTACCAACTAAGAAATTACACTAGATGAGATAATCAGGCACAAAACCACAAGCATGAAGATCCAGTCCTTAGGCTGACTTTTGAGAACTTTCATGGTCTAACTTTTGCCTCCTCCAATGCAGCAGTCCAGCCTGCCGTTCTGTGGGTCCCCACCAGCTTTGTGCATAGCGCTCCCCAGACTCTGGCACTGCCAAAGCAGCTCTTCGCACCGTGGCCTCTCTAGTTTGGGTCGTGCTGCAAGCTGCCCTCCATGGACGGCCTGCTAAATCTCTATTTGTCTCAAAAAGTAGCAGCCTCCTGGAAGCTTTCTCTGTTCAGAATTAATCTTCCTTCATTTTGTTCCCAGACACAATGTGTGGGCTTCTTAACTAGTGCATATTAGTACTCGTGTCTGCTTGTTTACCTGTCCAGTCATTGAGCCCTGCTGTATGTCAGGTCATAGGTGATATTTATCTGTCTGCACGCGTGTCTCTCTAACCAGTAAATGCTGTGTGAGCACCACAGTCAAGTTCTCTGTGCATCTCACAGCACTCAGTACCTGCTTTGCCTAGGGAGCCGAGCAGTAAATGATTTTTAAATTCATTGTACTGAAATGGAAAGCTGCTTGAATATGCAAAGGAAGCATGTTGTAGGCATAGCATGGAAAAGTCCTGCTACAGTGACATGACAGAGTTATTAAAATGTGTTTGAAAAGTGCAGTTATACCCAGGGAACTGCTGCTTTAGGGGATTATTATCCAGCAGTGATAAGTTTTATTAACATTAGCAAAATTGTATCATTTCCAGTTGGTACCACAAAAGAAGGCATTATTTATAAAAGTGTTTTATAAAATTGGTTGCTACTGACAATTGTTTGTCATATATTCTAAGTCATTACTTGATGGAGCTGTATGCAGTGTAACTTTCAAAATGAAGTCAAAATATTAGTGTAAAAGGTTGTGTTTATGGCCAATAGAATTGGAAAGGGACTGTTCTGAGACATGAGTCTTAAAATTTACATGGTTCTATCCTTCTTGACACCTCTTCCCCCTGCCATAGAATTACCATATGATCCAGCAATCTCACTGCTAGGTATTTACCCAAAAGATTTGAAATAAGTTTGATGAAGAGGTATCTGCACCCCACGTTTACTGCAGCATTATTCACAATAGCCAAGTTATGGAATCAACCTCAGTGTCCATCAACAGATGAATGGATAAAGAAAAATGGTTTTGTCATTTGCAACAACATGGATGGAATTGGAGAACATTATTCTAAGTGAACTAAGTCAGGGGAAGAAAGACAAATACTGCATGTTTCCATGTACGTGTGGAATCTACAACATTGAATTCACAGAAGCAGCGAGTGGAACGGTGGTTACAGAGGCTGAGGGGTGGAAGAGATGGGGAGATGATGGTCAAAGAGTGCAAAGCCTCAGGCAGGAGGAATACTTTTTTTTTTGATAGAGTATTGTACATTTCAAAATTGCTGAGAGAGTAAATTTCAAGTGTTCTCTTCCCCCACCAAAAATGTTAAGCATTTGAGATGATGGATATTTTGATTTGCTTGATTTAATTAGCATACATTGTATTCACAAATCATAACATCACTTTGTACCCCATAAATTTATATAATTATAAATTGTCAATTTACAATTAAAAAGTTCAGGAAATTATTGATAAATATTGTGCCATTTCCTAGAACTAGAAGTTCTTACTGCCAAAAAGAGAGGTTCATCTCACTGATTTTTCAACTTCTGCTGTGCTCTCCGAGGCTGATGAGCAGGAGGCTGAGCGTGCAACGACCGACCATAGCAGTTTCACTTGTAGGGTTTCTGATAGGATAACTTTGTAGGTAAAAATGGAGTCATGCTAGAGAGAAATTTAAGGTCTGAAAAAAGTCACAGGGCTAGGGGACATCTAGAGCTTCTTCCGTATTTAAATAGCGTGCCAGACTTTTTATGTTATGATTTTTGTAAGAGAAGTTGAGAACAGAGATGTTCATGCTCACATGTGGGAAGTGTATTCATGTAAAGAAGTAGAATACACAGTAAAGGTTTTTATTAATATAAGAAGTTAATTTGGTTTTTCAGAACTCTAGATCTAAAATGATAAAGTAAGACAGAAGTTTGGTTTATGTAATTTAAAAAAATATGCCTCCGAGTTAAGGTGTATGCGGTCTGGGAAATATCATACTCTGTGTGAACCCCTTTTACCCATGTGGTATCACTGCCCAAGCCAATGAGACATGTGAGTGCTTTGTGAAAGGAATACTTCTGAGACCTAAAAGTCTGGGTTGTCTCAGCGTCTGCTGTCTGTGAGGACATGGCCTGGCTCAGGGAGGTGTGCCTGTTTGTTTGTGAGGTAGGACCACACACATGCACCATTATGAAAATTAGTCTCTGCACCAGCCTTCGGCTCATGCGAGCATTGCATCTGCCTCTCCTTGCTGGTGTTCTTTCTGCTTAGCTTCTTTATCTTGCCCCTCTATCAGATTTGCTTTTCTCAGCAGTTGACCCTCCGGCCTCACTATCCAGTCCAGACTGAATTCTCTCTACTGGTATTTCCCTCCTCCCTTGGACCATTATTTCTGTAGTTGCCGTCACTGTGAATGGTCTGGTGGCAGCTCTGGTTGGGTCCAGTGTGGTTCCTCCCACCCATCCCCTTTGCATGGTTTCTATGCTCCTGTACCTGGGGTTGCAGGCAACAAAGATAATTATGATCTGTGGATACTTATGATCTGTGATACTTGCTGCGGGTTAAATGCGTCCCTCAAAAGTTCATGTACGTTCAACTTGCCCCCCATTGGAAGAGTGTTAAGAGGGTGGGAAATCCAATTACAGTATTTGAAAGGTGGGGCTTTTGAGAGGAAATTGGATTGTAAGGACTTTGCCTTTGTGAATGGATTAATCCATTCACAGAGTAATGGGCCTTGTTCTGAGGGTTTTATAAGGAGTGCGAGTGAGAAGGTCAGCTTGCTTGCTCATGCCATTCTCGCCATGTGACATCCTGCTTTGCTGTGGAGAGTCACCACCCAGAAGTCCCTCACCAGATGTGTTCCATGGACTTTAGACTTCCCAGCCTCTGAAACCGTAAGCAATATAAATTACCCAGTTTCAGATATTATGTTATAAGCAACAACAGAAACGGACTGATACAACACTTGTTTGTGTTTTTTTTTTTTTTTAATAATGAAGGCATGCTTCAGAAATGTGACATGCACACTGCCACTGCGACTCCTGGTAGTAGTAACAGCATGACAAAAAGCTAAGCACTTAGAGCAGTTTATCATCATCTCATAATATTGCTTTCGTCAATGAGCGTAGCTTCTGCCATCTTGCTTTCTTGACATTTTTCTTAGACTGTCTTACATTTTTTTCCATGTTCTTTGCTTTCAGTTTCTTGCCTTAGCTCTTGCCAATCCGATGAATAAACCAGCAAACCTCAAGGTGTATGTAGAACAACAAAGGAGAATTTAGTGGCTGGTAACATATGAGCGTGTCATCTCTGTAGGCACAGTTGCCACTTTTTGTGGAAGAACTTGCTGTAGTATTTGTTGATCTGCCAATTTGGCTGAGGCCAAACAGACCAAACACCTCTGGCTTGAAGCTGAAGCTGAGGGAGTTATCTTTGCTTCTAGAAGAAAGGAAATACATACATACGCCACCTAATCCTGCTAGAGAAAGAGATGGTCCTGCTTATCTCCACACAGGAGAAGGTGTTGTAGTTCTATTTTTAAAAAGGCAAATCCATCTATCCTTTTGTAGGGGAAGGGCTCCACCATGGTTTTCCAGTAAATGTGCACATATCCAGATAGGCCAGGTAGACGAGGCTTACCCACAGTCGGCTGTGTCTTGACGGAAATCCTGTGATCCTCCTGGAACATGGGAACGTGGGAGGCTTGGGAGGAACTGCTGCAAGGCCATTTTCCATTGCCCCCTGCCTCCCCAGGGTCTCACCACCTCCCGGGTTCTGATGAGGTTGGAGGCTTTCCGCTTCACCCTTTCTCAGGGCACAGCTGCAGGTAAAACTGCCGTGCTACAGCATGAAATTGGCTCCGCAGCAGCAGGACTCTGAGCATCCACTGCAGTATCTGGCCCCCTTGGCGTCAGTGGTCCCCTGAGCAAAGGACACTGTCTATAAGACTAATAAACAGTCTGAATATGAGAGAGGCTAGGTTCTTCACAGGCCACATCTGTCAGCCTTTGTCTTGTGTCGCTCGACAAACCTCATCACCTTTTTTTTTTTTTGCCAGTAAAGGTATCTATAATTTGTTTATCTGTTCAGTTTATAAGTAGAAAAGAACAATTTTTAAAAAAATCCAATAGCTTTATAAACTGTATTACATTTTCTCCTTTCATGCAATCTAGGTTAATTCTATTATTCTTTTTTTTTCCCCTCCAAATATACATTTTGTAATTTATTTTTTTATTATTTTTTTTCCTTTAAATTTTTATTTTGTCAATATACAATATAGTTCATTATTATGGCCCATCACCGAAACCTCCCTCCCTCCTCCCTCTCCCCCCTCCCACCCAAGAATGTCCTTTCCTTTTGCTTGTAAACCTCATCACCTTAACACCTTAGATCTTCGTTTTTTTGCTTTCTTATGATTTTTGTTTACATGCAAACATGTACAGTTCTAATGCTATTGTACATTTAAATTGCACTCTGTTTAATTAATATTTACAAAGTAATAATATGCAATCTTCCTAGTCGCAATTTATTTGACTTCTGTTGTTGGATATTTTGATTTTTTCCCCCAACTTTTGCAGTTGTAAAAGGCTGCATTTTTTTTTTTTTTAGAATAAAATACTATAAGTTGGGTTGAATAAATCTATGAATATTACACCTTATTTTTTGGCTATAAATATGTATTGTCAGCATGACTTTTAAAAGTTTTAACCAAATTTACAAAGCTACCGTCAATGAGTAAGCTAATAAATTTCCCTGCACACTTAATTTTATGGTGCCTTTAAACCTAAAAATTACTGATTTAATAGGCATTTCTGCTAAATATTGACTGTGTGTGCTGAAGTGAGGCACTATTGTGTAGTGGGAGTGCCTGGGCTAGAAATTTTGTTTAAATCCAGAGTTTTTCCAGTTGTGTGACCTCAGTGAGCATCAGGTTTTTAGAACTATAAAATAGGGTTCTAATATAGCCTAGTATTCAGTGTTGTAAAGAATGAACAGAAACGTATACATTCACACATATATGCTCACATATACACATATGTACACATACACACACCCCAATGACCTAAGTCAGTACCTGACATATAATAAGTGTATATTATGTGACAGATAATATACAATGCAATATATTTTGCATAATAATGTTTGTCATAAGAGTAATAATTGGAACATTTTGCTGTAGCCATTGAGTATAGAGAAGAGTAATGGAATTTAGGGTTTATAAAGCTGGATGTGTACCTGGTATTCTATAAAATGAGTGTCACGACTGTAGGGTGTCTGAAGCAGTGCTGTCTCATAATTGGTTCCTTCTCTCCAGGAAACTGAGAAATGAGTGGGTCAAAATATGAGCGTACTTCAAAAAGTTCGTGGAAAAGTAGAGTTAGAAGATAACATGAATCTTCATGAACTTTTTGAAGTACCCTCACAGATATTTTTGAATTCGTTTTTAAGGCTCAAAGTGCTATTCTGCCTTCCTAACTTTCCTTTAATTGATTAAACAAATATGTATGGCCAGGTGGGATTATAGCGCCTGAGATACAGTGATGAGTGAGACCAAGGAGCTTCCTTCTTTCTAGAAGCTCACATTCTCATTCAAAATAAGCAAACTGGTTCATTTCAGCTAATGTAATTCCTGTGAAAAATAGTGAAACAGCATGGCAAGAGACAGAAGGGCTGATAGAATCGCCTTAGAATCGGTGATTGGGGAGGGTGTCTGTGCGCTCTGAGGTGCAGGCGAGCCCGAGCCGGGTGTTTCCTCACCTCTCTTGCAGGCACCATATTGCTGGTAGTGCTCGTGTTTTACATGCTATTTAATTCATTGAAAGTTTTCATTGTTTGCTATTATATATTCTTTTTCTGATAAATTTTAAAATGTTCTTTGAATACTTATATGATCATAAACAGAGGTCTCAGATATGATTTAATTGTGGTGAAATGATAATATATGACAATTGGAAATATGATTAAATTGAGAAAATACACAGAATTTTTTTCAGAACACAGCTGTTATAGAAGATTAGACACCTATATTTGCTTTAGAGCCGGCACTACTGTAATATTTTTGTAAAGCACATAATTGCAATGCAGTAAAATGCTTGTGTGAAAATAGGGAAGTTGAGTAATCTTACTAGAGCATCTTCAGGGTTTGTGCAATTGCTTTCTGTTTAGCAAAATAAAACGTCTCATGTTGTAGAAATGGCAGAAAACCTTTAAGCTCTGTAATGGGTTGACAGACTAAGCTCCAGAATGGAAATCACATTATGATATCTGAATATTTTCAAACGAAATAAGAAAATCCATCAATGACAATACTGTTAGTCTTATTTGATGATTAAAATGTCTTTTAAAATTAAAGTATAGTGTTGTGATTGATAGTGAACGTTGTCTGCTTTTTAGCTATAAATTGATACCTTCATTACCTTAGTTTAAATTACTTCCTTCTGTTGTCAATGATATATATAGATATCAAAGGAAAAACAATGTATATTACTTATTTTTCATCTGCTAGACCAGGAACAGAATTGTATTTTTATTCCAGTGGATAACACCCTTATTGGCACATTAACAGGGGCTTGGAAAGTCTACATGAATTCGTCCTGTACAACTTGATGGACTTTTTGTGTTTGTTATTCCTTTGGGTTGCTTTATTGTCTTGAGAGGTTTCAAATGTTTGATTTAGAGGTGTATCTTACCACCTGTCATCACCAATGCTAATGCAGTTCTGACCTTTTACCATCTGTACCGTCTTCTGGAGCATTTTGCAGCTTACAGCAAGATAAATGTTAAAAATTAATACTTATGTAGCACTTTTTGACCAATATTCTCCAAGGATATGTGTATGTGTGTATGGTTAAGTAATAATACTTGTAAAGAATTAAAAAATATAGAAAGTAACAAATAAGGAAAGATTATTTACATTGATCCTACCACCCATGTATAGCCACTTTTAGTATTTTGTTTTTTCTTTCCAATTGCTTTTCTACATGAGCATGTTTGTATGTTTGGACACACATATGCATAGTACCTGGCTTTATAAATATGTGAATAAGTGAATGTTTTAGTATAGGCAATAATTTATAAATATATATTTATGTTTTTATTTTATTTTTAATTGACAAATAATTGTATATATTTATGGGGTTCCGTGTGTTGTTTTGATGTATGTCTACATTGTAGAATGATTAAATCCAGCTAATTAACATATTCATCATCTCACAACTTTTTGTGGTGAGAGCTTTTCAAATCTATTTTTTTTAAAAGCAATTTGAAATATGCAGTACATTGTTGTTAACTATAGTCACCGTGCTGTGCAATAGATCTCTAAAACTTATTCCTCCTGTTTAACTGAAACTTTGTGCCCTTTGACCAACATCTCCCCATTTCCCGTCATCCCCTGCTCCCCCAGCCTCTGGTAACCACCTTTCTATTCTGCTTCTATGAGTTCCAACATTTTTCCACATATAAGTATGATCATGAAGTGTTTGTCTTTCTGTGCCTGGATTATTTCCCTCAACTTAAGTAAGGAGACAAAACAGTGTAAATGATCCTAAAATATCATTTATAGTGTTTTATGTCCTTAGTTAATTTTCTAACTTAACCTGGATAATTCTCAAGATATTTTATTAAATATTAAAAAATTAAAAATGTGGTTTTTGATAACCTGACTCATATGTACGCATGTACCATAGTTTATTTAATCTTCCTCCCATATTAATGCTATTGTGTATTTTTGCTGTGTTGTGATGTGCTTTTTTACCATTAACTTTTATTAGTGCTTATTACTTCCTTAGTATGTAATCCTAGAGGAGGAATTACTGGGGCATAGAATGTAAACTTAAAACAATTATTAATTCTTTCTGCCAGATTTTTATTATTTAACAATAATATTTTTATTGAATTACAAAGGGTAGCTGTTCACCTAGAAAATTTGGAAAGCAGAAAAACAAAGCACAAAGAAAATTGGGAGGAAATTATTTATAATCCTGGCACCTGAGATGACTTCATGTAAGATTTTGATTTACATAATTTTAAGTTTTTTTTAATCCATTACGGTTTACCAAAAAGGATCACTTTGTTTCCTAAACTGCTTTTATTCCCCACTTAGTGTTATGTCATTAACAAAGTCAGTCCTCTGCCACTAGACAGTCTTCTACAATGTGATTTTACTGCCTGTTGTTAAAATGACATGTCTGTACAATGTATTTTAATTAATTCCCCTTTAGTAGACCTGTAGTTTGTTTCCAATATTTTATTATTATGCAGAGTTCTAGGATAAAAACCATTATGTTTTGCTCCTTGGACACATTTACTGTGATTGCATTAAGACAGATTCCCATAAAGAGAATTTCTGGTTCAAATAGTAGGAATAATTTTTAAGGCTTTTGACAAATATTGCCACATTTCCTTTCAACAGATTGTACCAACTGACATTTACACCACAAAGAGTTATAAAAATGAAAGGAAATCATAAAAACTTTTCAGGTTATTCACCTTAAAATTAACTAAATCACCTTCCAGAAAACCTGTACCTGTTCCCCCTCTTTGAGAGGAGCAAGAAGGTACCTGTTTTAGGTGTTCATCAGGCATATTCTTGAGATTGGGATGTATTAAAAGCCTTTTCTAAAACAGGAAAAGCTGAATGTGGAATGGTTAGGTGATTTGACTAAATGTTCATAGAAAGCGAGGGAGAAAGTTCTTGTTAGTTGCTGGGTCTTCTGATTACCAACTTAATTAGTTAGCTCCTTGAGTTTATTTTTTTTCTTCACCCCCCATTTTTATTTATTTATTTATTTATTTCTTAAATGATTGTACATATCTGTGGGGTACAGAGTAGCATACCAATACCTGTGTGTAGTATATCATGCTCAAATCAGGATAATTAGTATATTCAACACTACACAAAGTAATCATTTTTTGTGGCCTTTTACCAATTTCTTGCTAAACCTCCCTCCTTCTCCTTCTTTCCCACCTCTGGTAATCTTAGTTCTGTTTACTGCTTTTGAAAGTTCCATGTATTATTGTGATTGTTTTATCTTTCTTTCTTTTTTTTTTTTTTTTTTTGTTGTTGTTGTTGTTGTTGTTTGTTTGTTTATTTTTTAAGTTCCCACTTATGAGTGAGGACATGAGGTATTTCTCTTTCTGTGCCTGGCTTATTTCACTTAACATAGTTTCCTCTAAGTCCATCCATGCTGTTGCACATGACAATATTTCATTCTTTTTTATGGCAGAGTAGTAGTCCATTGTATAAATAAACCACCTTTTCCTTATCCAGCTATCTGACGATGGATATTAGCTTTGTTCCAACTCTTGGCTATTATGAATAGAGCTGCAATAAACATGGGGGTGCAGATATTCCTTTGACATGATGATTTTCCATTCCTTTTGGTGTACACCCAGCAGTGGAATTGCTGTATCGTATGTCTTCGATTATATTTTATTACTTTTCTGTCATTGAGTGTTTTGAGATGCATCACTGTGTTTTCTCTTCCAGTCTCTTCAGTGGCTGCACAGGAAGCGTGGTCTTGGGAGCAGTACTTGAAGGAACAGAAGGCTATAGCAGCACCTGTTGAACTGTTTTCCAAGGTTAGACACTAAACATCTTATATTTTTGCAAGGAATCATCATTTAAGAGATTTTATTAAAATGGAATTATTTGCCTAGATAGCCTATCAACTTATTTGAATTTGTAGGCTCTGCTGGGAAATGAGCTAATAATGCTCACAGGAGCCTTAGTGTCTCCAAGTGTGCACTGAAGGGCTGGCAATTAGCTCAGCTGGTTAGAGTACAGCCTTGTAACGCCAAAGTCAAGGATTCAGATCCTCATACTGGCCAGCTGCCAAACAACAACAACAATGAAACCAAGTGTGCACTGGAGTGGGACTGCGTGGGTTTGGAGGACAGTGCTGACCCCTGCCAGCTCTGTGACCTTGGGCAAGTCATTTGACCTCTCAGTGCCTCAGTTTCCTCATCTGTAAAGCAGGGAAAATTCTCTACCTATCTCCTTGGGTTGTTGGAGGACTAAATCAATTATGCATGTAAAGGACACAGGAGGCAAAATGCACATAATAAACACTCAATGAGTGTTAGTCTTTATTTTTATTAACTGATGTTACTTGCATAAATCCACCCAACAACCAGGTTAGAGGGATCTGCTTTGGTGTGTTACATGGAGGTGGTGGCTCAAATAAGATATTAGTGGAGACAGTGAAACCTCTGAATCATGCTGTGCTTGACTAGAAAGATGAATAAAGCAGCTGGTGTAGACTTGCATGACCAAGTGACTACCAGCACCAGGAGCTTGTGGCTACTGGGGATCAAATCTTCTGTATTTCAGGGGAAATTTTTTAGTGTTTCAAGGGAAATTTATATGAAAAATTGCAGCTGATTTGCATTTTAACCTGTAGGGAGTAGCTAAAACTTCTTATTTGGTTTACTTTTCATGAGATCTGCTGAGTATTTGTTATTACCTGAAAGAGCCAGTATTTATAACAGAACAGGGGAGAAGAGGTGTGGCAAAGAGGAAAAGAAAGGGAACCCCTCAGGCCCAAGAAGTATTAAGTGTCCTTCTGTTGTCTAGGTGCCTGTCTCCCTAACAGAGCAGTGTGAAGGTTGGCTGGTTGAAAATGGAGATGTCTGGATCAGTGGCTCTTACCCTGTCTTCATATCCGATGTTTTGTGGTGCTTTGGAAAGCACAGATGCATGGGCATTCCTGAGACCCACTAACCCAGATCCACAGTGTGTGGGGCCTGGACACGTGTGGCTTGAGAACCTCCTGAGGGCATTCTCTGCCCAGGTGCAAGGTTCAGTACCCTAGAAGGGTTAAGAGCTAAGCAATTCCAGCTTAGGAGTCAAGTCGCTCCTGCCCCATGTAGCTGTCTCCTGATGAGACAGAAGGCGTTTGTTCCATAAACAGTGTCTATTAAAGCAAGGGCTGTCCTCCTCCTTTCCTTTCATGTCTCCTCTTGGTGTCTGCTGTATTGAGCATGCTCATGTGATTTAGTTGGTGTTGAATAACTTCTGAGAAACCTATTCTTACTTGTGATTGTGGAAAGTCTTTAAAGGGGGTTGGCTTGGACCAGGGAAATCCAGTGTAACTCACAGCCGCTTTCCCTCTCCCCGTGCCCGTCCTGTGCCCTTGCTGCAGGGTTACTGCTGTCTGGAGGGTAGACCGTAGAACGGGTTGGCCAAGGCCCATCAGCTGCCACGACACTTGATGCAGATGCAGTCCAGTCAGGGTCCATGGTGCAAGGTTCAACCACAGGACACAGGTGTGGCTGGTGATGCCATGCCTGGGCTTAGATGGGATCACCACCCAGGGACAGGAGCCACAAAGATGAAGGAAGAGTCAACGACTGAAGTTAGAACTCACATGTAACAAAATTGGTCATGAGTGACACTGTGTCTTAGGAATCAGACCTGGGCTGTGTCTCAGCGCAGGGTCCTAGAGCAAAGATCCTCTCTTACCTCCACCCAGGATGAAACCAGATATTTGGGTCTTAGGGGTGAAGTGAGGGCTAATTTGCAGTAAGGCAAATTTTGGCTGATGGCAGCCAAGTGGTAGATACCCCCTTTTCCCAGTCAGTCAGTGTGTTAACATTGTTCTCGGAGTCTCTCCTTTAAGATTCTTTAAGGTCCGTCATCCAGCGCAAGAACACCTGCAAAATGGAAATTCCTCCCCCAGATTTTCCCTCATGACCTGATGTTAACTGAAAAAACCACCAAGGGACAAATGTGGGATTTCTCTTTCTGAAATAAATCCTCATGGCAACATTGGGAACTGTGTAATCACTGGCTGTGGGTCATATAGCTTTTCCCCTCGACTTTACAGAGATATGGCAAACGAGGTGCTGGAAAGCACTGAATGAGAGAAGGACAATCTTGTGGCATGTGGGGACAAGAGCAGGTTCCCTTTGGAGGGTTGAGAGAAACTGTCTGTACAGTGGAGGTGGATCACTTGGCTAATAACACTTTAAGATCTGAGTCATGCGAGCTTTTGAACTTTGACATTTGTCCACTCAGAAGATGACAGCAAAGTGTCAGTGTATGAGAAAACAGGGAGGCCTGACAGGGTGGCACGCCTTTCCTGCAGTCGACACCTCACAGTCGGACTCCTCGTGTTTCTAAGGTTGTGTGTGCACAGGGACCTGGAAGATGGGACTGAAGCACTAGGCGTTTGCCACATGGTTTCTGAGACTTGCCATCTAGTTGAGAAATAAGATATGTCCATCATAACCATATGAGGCAGAATGTTAACTGCCAGTGGAATGGACATGTAAGGAATTTACTGGGCATTCCACGTGTGACCCCAGACGAGAAGAGTGAAGCTCACCAGTTATTAAGTCTGATTTGTCCTGATGACCGAAGATGCTTCTGTTCAAGATACAGTGTTACTCTAACTTGACATGTATATTTTAAGATAAAATAAACATGGTTGATAATTGAAGATAGGTTTCAGTATAATAAAAAAGGCAGATGGTTCATGTCAGCCTTCTAAGAAGGAGCATCAGACTGAACTCAGTCTCATGTTGACTTTGTGCTCTTATTATTTATGATCGTTTCCATTTGTAAATATTAGAGCAGTGCTGTTCAGGGCAGCCAGCTGAGGTGCAGCTCCTCGGCTTTGACGCTGCAGTGCTGAACATAAAACTGGAAGTAGTTGGCGTATCTTGAATGGAAAACTATTCCGAAGACTTTAAAGTATTGCTTCACTTTTAATATATAGTTTCCATCTTAATATTAAAGTTTTAGAAGATGTGCCAAGGCCACACACACCCCCTCACACAATCAATTCCATCACACAAGTCAGATACATATTCTACCAAGAAAATATGTGTGTATTGTTCTGAGGAGAGTATGCCTATTTTATTTGTGCACAAGTTCTTTGCATATCTACAGGTCTGTTTTAAATTTCTTTTTGTGCGAGGCAATGTATTTATAATTTTATAATTTATTTTACCATTGGGGTAATGAATATGTAAAGATAAAAACACCTCCTGTTAACATAGCAAATTTAAAAATATTTTCTCTTCATTACCGGTGAAATGTACCTGTTTTGATTTGATTTAAAATTTAAAATATTCTTTTTTTCTTTCATTTTGAGATGGGTATTAGAAGCTTTTCTCTCTCATCCCCCCTGCCAGTCATCTAACATCACATGGGCCTTCCTAAGGTGATCTTGTCCCTCCGTTGCTCAGCACAGCAAGTCCAGATGTGTCTGCTTGGAGTTGACGGGCCTGGCAGGTTGCTGCATCGCTGGCTCCTGCGTGACTCTTCAGTCTCTAGCCAAGTTTAAAGGCCTCTCCATCTCTTCTTGCTCTCCGAACCTCCTAGATCTAGACTAAACACGGGCTTAGGCCCCAGCGAAGCAGGGACACTTCCACAGTGAGAAAACTCAGAACTCTTGGACTTCTTAAGATATCTTTTATAGTTTAGTAATTTAGTTTTAATATGAATTTCATATAGCTGAGGTGCTGTATAAATTTTCTATTGCTGCTGTAACAAATTACCACAAATTTAGTGGCTTACACCAATACAAATTTGCTGTCTTAATGTTCAGAAGATCACAAGTCTGGAATGGGTCGATGGGGCAGGACCCTTCTGCAGGCTCTGGGGAGAATTGTCTCCTTTCCTTGTCTGGCCCTTGGTGCCACCTGCACTGCTCGGCTTGGAATCTTATGCCAAGCCAACCTGGTGCCATTGTCGCCTCTCCGGCTCTGGTCCTCTGCCTCCCTCTTATAAGGACCCTTGTGATGACATTGGGCTCACCCAAATAATCCAGGATACTCCCCCCATCTCAGGATCCTCCACTTACCCACATCTGCAAAGTCCTCTTTGCTGTGTGAGATAACAGAGTCACAGCTGCCAGGATTATGACGTAGACATAACTTTGAGGGTCACTGTTCTGCTGACTGCAGGTGCTGACTGCTGTTCCTGGCCTCTCTCTGCCCCTGGCTGGAGTGACTTCCCATGGGTTAGCTCCCTCCCAAATTCTTCTGTTGTTACCTCTGCAACTCCTGCCTGTGGCAAAACCAATGATGCAACTTCCTTAACAGCTCGACGCGTTGTTCCCTCCTGTGTGTGGCCAGCGTGCACACCTGCTTCCTTGGTGTTCGCCATCGCCTCCATCAAGCCCACTCCCTGTCCTTCAGGGGTGCAGGAAGGCCCTGCCTCCTCGGGCACCCCCAACCCCCGCTCCCATTTTGCCTGTCCCCTTGCACATCCCGCCCTCCCTCCTTTGCGGCTCGTGCCATCTCGCAGCCACTGTTTCCACTCTTACTGCCTACTTAGCATGTGCATGTGTCTGCTCATGCCACTCACCCCTTGCGCTCCCTCTCCTGCCTCACCCTCTCCTGCACAGTCATGTTCTCGTCCTGGGATGCTCCTTTGTCCACATGCCAGTCCATCCCACTCCCGGGTGCATGAGTGCCCCATCCCAGGGCCCTCTGCCACATGCACAGTTCAGCCACCTGCTGCCATGACCACATTTGCACAAGTCACAGTTGAGCCTCCTCTGCCGAGATGATCTTTCATCTCACCAGCTGATCATATCCACTGTCTTTCCAGATGTTTCTATCCCTTATTC